TCGGGGGAGGCGGGCGGGGGAGGCAGGTGTGTGACGGAGCCGCCCACCACCTACCCTGCTCGGCTGCCCAGGACCTGGCCATGCGGATCCTGGACCCCAGGGAGCAGGGGCCCTGTGCACAACTGCTCATTCTTAGGTTCGGACCACACGGGCATGAGGCATGGGCACCCTCCTTTTGCTGGCACCCACAGTTTGGCATTCCACAGCGCAGCGGAGTTCAGGAACATCCTGGCACAGGGCTGCAGTTCTGGGGAACACTTACCCTGTTGCCCTGGGGGTTCACAGTCCTGAGCTTCATACCCTGGGGGGCCCAGTGGTGGCCAGCCCTCCCTCCCTCCCCCTGGAGCAGCTGTATGGCCTCTGCAGCTTTTCTTGGCCACATCTTCCTCCAGCCCCCAGCTCCCAGCCCAGAGCCCCCAGCTATCAGCTCCCAGCCCTGAGCCCCCGACCCCCAGCTCCTGCAGCAGGCTGGCCCTGCAGGGCCCCGGTGGCCTGTGGCCGTCAGCTTTCAGACGGCCTCCGTTTTCCCTGGTTGGTTTATCCCAGGCAGGAGGCTACCTTGGAAAGGACACAGGATGGCTGTTTACGTGGAAAACACAAAGGGGGGCTCAGCGGTTAGTGTAATGACTGTCCCATGTAATCGACCATAGTTCAAGTCCCAAACTGGGTGGCTTAAACTCACGCAGGGTGCATGTGCGTGTGTGCCCAAGATCCTGAGAGGAGGATGGAGGAGAAGGGATTGTGGCGTGGTCGTCCCCTCTGGGGTGATTTCTCACTTTGTCTCTCCAGCCATGGGCCCTGCGCATCCGTGAGCCAGGCGGCCCCTGGGAGGAGTGCGGAACCGTGAGCAGGCGCGGAGCCACTGGGCACTGGACAGCCGTGGCGTCCTGAGCCTCGGCCCGACAGGTCTCGCTCAGAGGGCCCTGGTGCTGCTGCGTGGTTTGGACACCTACAGTTCCCACAAACCCACGCTGGAAAAGCATGAGATGGGAGACCGCGTCATTGTTGCCCGTGGTGTCAGCGTGGCCATGTGGCTCTCGGCAGCGTCCCATTCTGAGGAGGACAGCCCTGGGCCTAAACCAGGGCCCCTCTGGAAGTGCCCGAGGGCAGGCGGTCACAGCCAGGATGTGGCCCTGGCGCCAAGGGCTGGGGCGTGTGAGGCCAGGCCGCACAGAGGGTGGCCGCGCCCGGTGGGGCTTCAAGGAGGGAGTGTCTGTGAGGTGCAGGTGGCTGCCCCAGACCTTCCCGCACCACCGTCCTGGTCAGGTGTCCCATGTGAACGGGTGTGCCTGCCGTCTCGGGATTGCTGTGTAGTGAGCGTGGGACTTAGAGTCCGAGCATGTGAGACTTGCACGTGTCCGGAAGTACCTGACCACTGCACCGAGAAGCCTTGGGCACAAGCACACCCAGCGTGCCGAGGTTCCATGAGCTTGTGACAATTGGAGCAGGTGACCGTAGGCTCAGAGAGGCTCCCCTGACGCCCTCAGAGGGCAGAAACCCGGGCGAGGGCAGGGCAGCGGGCTGGCTCCCCCACTGGGCCGGCAGTCTCAGCCAGGTCCCAGTTCCCCTGTGCTTCTTCTGCTCATGCCGAGTGTGGCAGCAGCTGTCAGGGAAGAGGATGGTCCTTACAGGGGACATGTCAAATCCTCTGCACGCCAGGAGGTGACACGTCACGTGTGCCATTCTGCCCCCGTCCATGTTCAGCTCAGTGGGATGTAGCCACCGGTCCACGTGGAGGTGGGGTCAGCCGGGCTGCACCTGCTGGCGACCGCCCGGTGTCAGCCCACCCGCCTTCGTCCCACTGTTGAGAGCCCATTGGCTGTCCTGAGAGCCTGCTCGGGTGTCGGGAGGTGGGCACGGAAGGCGAGGGGCGTGCAGGGGCGACCTGGTCTGCCTGGCACCCAGCGAGAAGCGTGCCCGGGCTCCTGTGAACGCCCGGCCGGAGGCCACTCAGCTGTGCCGACCGTGCAGTGGTGCTGTCATGTGGGGCATGTGACAGCCCACATGCGGAGGGCCTCTGCCACGCAGGTCCCGGGTACAGGGGCTTTCTAGTCTCCACAGAGAGGTGCAGACAGAATCCGAGCTGCTAAGAGCAGGAATCTTTATTTGGTTCACTTCAGGTCTGCAGCAACCACTCAGTATTAAAAAGAGGAATGGAAAGTAAGATGTACAAAAGGCGCCATCCCCGTGAGAAAGCGTTATCAGAAACGGATCCCTGCTGGCCTCCCCCACCCGTGTCCCCGAACCACACCGTGAGCAGGGACGGGGGCAGGCAGGGTGGGTAACGGAAAACAGTAAAACTGCAGTTAACTGGAACATGCTCTTGTCGTCCGTTTATTTCTGGTTAAAAATATAGCAATCCAGTGCAGTGTAAAGAAACCTGCTCGAAAGGTAGCAGAGGGCAGCTCGACAAGCAAAGCAAGGCAGAGTCCACGGACGGCTGTCCCCAAGGACTGGACGGGAGACCGGTCGTGCCCAGGCCCGCCGACGCGTCCCCACCGCGAGAGCTGAGCCCAGGCCTGGACATCCTCGCCCCTCCTCGTCAGTTTGGAGGAGGAGCCCACGCGGCGGGAGGCAGACACGGGCCCTTCCTCTGAGCAGGGCGAGCTACGGGTGTGGGGAGGTGGGGGTGGGCAGCTGCTCCGGAGTCAAGCCACTGGGTTCAACCACATTCCTGTCCCGAGATGGGCCGCTGCGGAGTAGCACTGCTGAGGCAGGCACCGTGCACAGGTGTGCACACCCGCGGAGGTAGCAGCGGAAAGAACGTTCTTTAGGGCCCTAACCCAGGGACGCATGTGCTCAGAGCCTAGGAGTGACAGCACACCGTCCAGGGCCCAGGGCCCTGTGCTCAGGCGAGCCCAGTCGGATCCAAGAGGCCCGGGGCATCTGCAGCATGGCAGCCCTGGGGCCTGGTGGGAGGGT